GGAAGAATGGGATGGGGAAGAGGAAGAATGGGATGGAATGGGAAAGAGGAAGAATGGCATGGGGAAGAGGAAGAGGAAAAATGTGATGGAATGGGGAAGAGGAAGAATGGGATGGGGAAGAGGAAGAATGAGATGGAATGGAATGGAATGGATTGGAATATAATACTTTATATGGCCAAGTGTGATTAGAAGCACAAGGAGAAGCAGACGCTCTCAAAAAGAAAAAAAAAAGCAGATAGACAAGTAACAATCCCATCTGATTCTTTCTAGCCCTACCTCACAAGTAGGGTTTACATCCATTGACTTGTGAAAGTGCCCTCATGGGCCCTGAAATTACAGTCTTCTAGATGACAATTCCATGTTGATCCTCCCCTCTCTGGAGTCTCAGCTGATGCCATGCCCCAAACTCGGGGGAACTCCCATCTCAGTGCCCAACCAGATAACACATAACGTACTCTCAGCCACTGTTATAGACTGGCATGACATTCTTCATCATCAGTGGTCAAAAGCTCCAATGACCACACTTCCTGTTTGCTGCTGGCCGCCGCCAGACGTTCCTTTGGGATCGTCAGCTTCCACTGCCTGTCAGAGCCGCCTTCACAACGGAACGGCGGCTCGAAAAAACTCCGTTCCCATGAGGAAACGGAGATAGAGCCGGCAGGGGTGGGTAGAACTCTCTGCAGAGTCCCAAAAGTTTTTCTTTTACTTTTGGGATGGAGCGGATGAGATGCCCCATATCCCCAGCCGTTGCTCCGGGCTTTGGGAGACCTCTGCTAATGCAGAGCCAGGCGTCAAAAGCAAGCTTGCGAATTTGACAGATTACTCAAAGAAAATGTGAGCTGGACCTGTAATACTGAAGCGCAAGTATTTTACTTATCTTTTAAAAATTACTTAAGAGAATAGAGGAAGAGAAAGAGGAAAAAAGTTTCTTTTTAAAATGGCGTCTGCCGCGGCTGGAGAAGAGTTTGAGAGGGAAAGTTCTTCCGTTTTTTATTATTACAATGTAGCGGAATAAATACCACTGGCTACATTTGTAGACAAAACTCCGCTCCTGTTTTTGTTTTTCTCTTTTTTCCCTGGAGGCTTGAGTGTTGCTGGCTGGAAGTCTTTTGTCTTGTTTTTTTTTTTCTTCTTCTAACAAAGCCTGCTTAGGCGGAAACATGGCACTGAGGCTTGTGAAGTCAGACAAACAAATAGGTGGGGGGGATTCCCCCACTAAGAATTTAAAGCAACATGTTTTAACTCTTCAGTCCCAGAAACCTGATTTTAATATAATAGAATTTCTCTTAGAGGAGATTGAAAGAAGGGATGAGATTGTGAATCAGCAACTTGAAAAATTTAAGCAGGAAATTAAGGAATTGGTGAAATCCAAGTTTGACTTTTTGCAGCAAAAAATTTTAAAATTGCCAGAATTCATGATTCGGTTGGATACAAATACTAATTTACTAGAGTCAAAAATGGATGAAATTCAAGATAAATTGGACAATAGAATTCAAAAAATTGAAAATGATTTGTTAAATATTCAGGATTATAGTTCAGAAGAAAAATTTAAAATGGATGCTGACCAAAAGTCTGGTAATGTAGAATATCTGGAACAGAGGATTCAAAAAGAGGTTCTAAAGATACAATATAATTTCACAGAATATGCAATAAGACTTAGAGGTTTGCAGGAAAATAACAGAGATGACTTAAGGAAAATATCTTCTGAATTTCTAGCTGGGATTTTAAAGATTCAACCTGAGGAAGTGTTTTGTAGGATTGACAGAGCTTATCGAATAAACTCTTGGACTGCCAAGCAAAGGCAATTGCCTAGAGATGTGGTAATCTATTTTTCAGATAAAGAAATTAGGAATAAAATTGTGCAAAATTCCTTCAATTCTAATTTGCAATTGTATGGAAGAAAGATTTGGATTTACAAGGAACTCCCACCTAAGATACTAATGGAAAGGAAGAAATTTGGCTTTCTGGTGTCTGAGTTAAAAAGGAGAAATATTCAATTCCGGTGGGATGTCCCAGTTGGTATTATATTGAGATATCAAGGAGAAAGATACCAGTTAAATACTGTTGAAAGGGCGGAAGAATTTTATCAAAATAGGTTGAAAATGAATTTAACGTCTTCAGATATAATACAGGATAAGCAGAAGGAGCTGGAACTAAAGACAGAGACTGTACCAGATAAATTGCCTTTGGATTTATCGGATACCCCAGCTGGATTATCTACAAATTTGAGAGAAGTGCCATCTGATTTTAATGTGATGACTTATCAAGGCAAGGACAAGCATGGAAACCAATTAGAGGATATACAAGGGATAAAAAAGAAATGCGAGACACAAAAAATTAGGATGGAGGTCAAACCCACAAAAAGAAAACAAAAAAAAGAAATAGGTTGTACAAAAATAGAAATTTCTAACCCAAGCAACAGTGAAGCCAGTGATTTTAAAATATGAATGATTATGTGAAAACATAGAGGAGGCGACATATTGGTCAATATCATCCTGAGGATAGTGGCAGATCTCTGCATTGCCGTAATTTTGGGACATGGAAAGAGCCTCAAATTGATGGTTTTGAATTATCTACTTTGAAACTTCTTTTTGTGTTGATAAATATATTATAATTATCTTGAATTATAAGGCAAGAGAATCACATTGGGACATGCAGAAGATCGGGTTGTTACCCAATACGATGATGGAAATTAATAATCCTGATGAAACCCACAATTATTATTATATGGAATACAATTATAATGTCACTCGGGTGGTTGTTTTTACTTTTATATATATAAGAAGATGTTTACTACTGATGGGGGCAGATATGATTGGAGATCTTGAATAAACTGTTGCATTCGCAAGCTATGTCACCCTATTATGGATGTTGGTTTTAACAATCCAGTGGAAAGACTTCAAGAAGATATTATATGGACTATAAATTTAAAGTTATTGTCTTTTCTTTTTTTATTTAGATATAATGGAATATATATATATATATATATTTTTAAGTAGTGTGGGCAGTGAATTAAAGATATCAAGAATTGTTGTGTATGGTAAATTTGTAAGACAGTGGGTGAATAAGCTAGCTACAGACTGATTAGTTTAAGAAAAGGGATTTTTAAGTGATACATTTAGGGGAGTGGAGGAAATGGATAGAGTGGAATAAATGTTAAATTAGATTTTATGGGGAGCCCGCTTTGAAATGTTATTAAAGTAGGACTTATTGTATAGTTTTAAAGTGGAAGGTGGTTTTGAATTGTTGCAATAATGCATAGATATAAAACACTATTATGCTAAATTAGAGTTATTTTATAATAGTTATAGTATAATGTGTTTTTTTTTTTTGTTTTTTTTTTTTTTTCTCTTCTTCTTTTCTGAAATGTATGGATAAAGGGGGATTTATAATACTTTTAGTAAGTAAAGGTCAGTATTTTGAGGAGGGAGTAAGTAATCTGTTATGAATTAGGGTTTTTTTTTGTTACGAAGAAGTCACAGGGGGGGAAGGGGGGGAGGGGGGGTTAGGGAGGGGGGGAGGGGGGGGGAAAAAGGGGGAAAAATTTGTATTTGAAAACCTTTTCAATAAAAAAAAAAAAAAAAAGCTCCCAATGACCAGGTTGGAGCATAGGTAATTAGAATGCACCACTAATACCAAACACTGGGACACCTTCCTTCAAAATGCTACATTTGTTAATTTTAGCCAAGGCAATGAAAACCCTAGGCTGCAACCTCAGGTTTTAAGCATTGACTGAGGTCTTTCAGGCTACACCCAACCAAGCAAGTGGCATTATGGTATAGCTCGTGGCGTGAAACTTGGCTCTGTGATTGAACACATAGACCAAGTTGCATTTTAGAGAATCAGTGTTTGCTTTAAGAAGCTCCAGCATGATTCCACCCTTCATCTAGAGAAGTTATGTTGGAAAGGCTGCCCCATTGGATGGTTGATGGTGTTGGGGCAAGACAGCACTCCATCTTGGTAATAGTCATTTTGGAGTTACTCCAGGGGTGAAATGCTCCCAGTTCAGCCCGGTTCTACCAAACCGGTAGCGATGGCGGCCAGTGGTTCGGAGAACTAGTAGCGACGGTGGCGCGAGGCTCCACCCACCCGCCTGGTCGTCGTTACTTCCTGGTTTTAACCAGGAAGTAATCTGTTTTTTACCCTCTGCACATGTGCAGAAGGGTTTGTGCATGCGCAGAGGGTCCAAGCGCTCACATGACGTGGTGCGTGCCCTTCCGAACCAGTTGGGAAGGTAAGGTTTGTTTTTTCTTTTTAAATTTTTGATTTATATGCCGCCCTTCTCCGGAGACTCAGGGCAGCTTACAGTGCGTTAAGCAATAGCCTTCATACTTTTGTATATTTTTATACAAAGTCAGCTTATTGCTCCCACAAACTGGGTCCTCAATTTACCTACCTTACAAAGGATGGAAGGCTGAGTCAACCTTGAGCCTGGCGAGATTTGATCTTACTTTAATTGCAGACAGCTGGTGTTAAATTACAGTGCTTAGTCTGTTGAGCTGTCCAGGCTCCTATGTAGGTTTCACCCCTAAGTTACTCCTCTTCTTGGCTTCTTTTCTTTAGCAATAGCAGTTAAATTTATATACCCTTCATAGTGCTTTACATCCCTCTCTAAGCAATTTACAGAATCAGCATATTGCCTTCAAAATCTGGGTCCTCATTTTACTTGGAAAGATGGAAGGCTGAATGAACCTCGAGCTGATTAGGATCGAACTGCTGACAGTCAGCAGAATTAGCCTGCAATACTGCATTCCAGCCACTTCTCCACCAGGGCTCTTAGGAAGGCCCTGAAGATTGCTTTATTCCTGCAGGTCTTTGATCCGTGATAATGGCTGTTGGACCCCACTGCTTATTTTATGATTGCATCCATGATTATGGTTTTTTTTTTTTTTTTTGTAGTTTTGGCTGCTGCGCTTTGGCCAGGGTCTTAATGAATAGGAACATAATACATATTGTAAATCAATTAAAATGGTATTAAATATGCCTTTTTTTCCACCTAGGTGTATGAGTTAAATGGCATCCCATTGATCCTGGATAACTGCAGCATTGATGACAATAATCCTTGTATCCTTTTTATTAGCATCATCATTTTAAACTAAATACGTATCCTTTGATGGGGCTCAGATTTGTATATCAGTTCTTTGGGATTAATACAGAATTGTTCTGGTGCCTTGAAAAAGGCTTGTAAAACTCCATTCTCGAGAAAGTTATTTGTAAAAGTAATAAAGGCGGGACACAAATAAAACGTTTTGATCTACTCTTGATTCTTTCTCTTTTCATAATGACAGTAACTCAAGACTACTCTGTTTGCTATTGGCGTTGAAGCTGTTTTGTAATGTGGTAAGTTGTACTATTTCTTTCAGAATTTCCTCCCCCCCCATCTTTATTTTTTTTACCAACAAGAAGTAACAATACATTTTTAATACAAGGTATTAATTTTTTCACTTTGCTTTTTATTCTGGATTATAATTTCTTTACAGTAAAAGAAGATGCTGGAGAACTGCAGGAGGTAAGATTTCACACAATCTCTTGCAAGTATCTTCAAGAAAAGTTAAACATAAATTGCAGTTCCTTTCTCCCTCCCTGTAATCTACTTGACTGAGTTTTGAATCTCTTATGCTAAGATGGCCTTACCTCTTTTGATGGGTAACAATCAAAGAGAGAAACTATATCTTTTTGGACAGGTTTTTTAAAGAAAAGAGCTTGGTTGTAGCTCATTATATCTTGTTCTCTTAACTTTCTGAATATCCCAGATTCATTGTTGTCACATTAAATTAGGATTAGTAATCATACCTAACCAAACTTGGTCATTGTAGTTCATCCTGAATTTTTTGCATCAGCTAACATCTGATCAGTCATCTGAACCAAACAAATAGGTTAGCCTGCACACTTTATTACGTTTGACTAGTGAAATATATATTTAATATAAACATCTGGTATTCTTTGATTTTTTTTCTTAAAAAGAAAGATTTTTGTTGATCGAAGTAAGAGGGTTTGAATGGAAAGCTCCACAGGAACATATGTCTTTTCTAAAGTGTTTGCGATAAATATGCAAAGTCTCCAGAAGAGACAAGGAAAGAGGGTAGAACAAGAAGCAACGGGTGGAAACTAATCAAGGAGAGAAGCAACTTAGAACTAAGGAGAAATTTCCTGACAGTTAGAACAATTAATCAGTGGAACAACTTGCCTCCAGAAGTTGTGAATGCTCCAACACTGGAAATTTTTAAGAAGAGGTTGGATAACCATTTGTCTGAAGTGGTGTAGGGTTTCCTGCCTAAGCAGGGGGTTGGACTAGAAGACCTCCAAAGTCCCTTCCAACTCTGTTATTCTAAATCCTGACAGCTAATGAGCATGTGGTCCTTTGGATCTTATGTGATATGATTCCTTAGAACTGTGGAGAATCTATGCTTCTGGATCCTGATTTCACCTCTTGGGCTGAAGGAACTTTAGCATGCCCTCAAACAACCAGAGTACTGGGGGTGAGGGATCCTTAGAGAATACCACTAAGAAAGATTTACCTCTAAGCTTCATGTCTTTTTATTAAATGAGAACCAACTGGTGCCTCCTTGAACCAGTTTTATTTTGATGTTGGTTTGAAAGCATTTTGTGTTAAAAAAAAAAGAAGTAAACATTCTAATAGAAGATAATTCATTTTAATTTTGCTGGATTCAACTTTTATCCCGAAAATGGAAAAATGAATAGAACAGAATAGAATTCTTTATTGGCCAAGTGTGATTGGACAAACAAGGAATTTGTCTTTGGTGCATATGCGCTCAGTATACATAAAAAGAAAAGATACATTCATCAAGAATCATAAGGTACAACACTTAATGATAGTCATAGGGAACAAATAAGCAATCGAATCATACTAGGAAACAATATAAGTATAAGTATAATTTTATTTCTATACCGCCCTTCTTCCGAAGGACTCAGGGCGGTGTACAAATATAAATCGTAAGGATACAAGCAACAAAGTTACAGTCATGCAGTCATTAGTAGGAGAAGATGGGCGATAGGAACGATGAGACGATTAATAGTAGTGCAGACTTAGTAAATAGTTTGACAGTGTTGAGGGAATTATTTGTTTAGCAGAGTGATGGCGTTCGGGAAAAAACTGTTCTTGTGTCTAGTTGTTCTGGTGTGCAGTGCTCTGTAGCGTCTTTTTGAGGGTAGGAGTTGAAACAATTTATGAAGTGTGTATGCGGCAAGATAAACTGCACTAGATCTGGAATAAGGTCCATTTAGCCTCATGCACAGTTGTCCGTTAGAAGCCACTTTCGATGTCATTGTGCCATGAAGTCATTTGTGTGGTGATTTCAGGGTGCATATGACATCATTCCTCCTTTGAACACCGGTGGCCTCTATTCTGTTCCCCTACTGGACAACAAGGTCTCCTCTCCCACTGATCTTTCCACCCAAGTAGCCTCGAGCCATTTATCGCCCCCAAACATGATCTGGGAATTTGGAGCTTATTCTTTTAACATCTGTTTTATATTCCCTTGACAGTAAAATTGGGAGGAATGGCGTCTTAGATATGACGGAAGGGAGCAATAGCTAGCAGGCAGCCATGAATAACCTCAATGAATTTGTCTAATCCTCCTTTAAGGCTCTCTCAGTTGGTGGCCATCCCTCCATTGTCTGGTGATGTGTTAATTATGGACTTTTCTCTCTGCTCAGCGATTCGGCTTCTCTTGAGTTAAGAGAAAGGGGAGAGAATTTGCCTCCCTGATCTTCCAGAGCTGCCTGCAGGGTTTTTAACATCCAAACTTCAAGGCAAAAGGGGTTAGTGAGTCAGGGTTAACCTTGGTTTGTCTGCATAAGACCTATGTTGGGTCGTTTTTTTCTTGAATAAAGCTTTCGAGTAAATGGCCTCTCAGCTTGATTTTTGAAAACTTAACATTATATATATATATATATATATATATATATATATATATGTATGTATGTATGTATGTATGTATGTATGTATGTATGTATGTATGTATATGTATCTATGTATGTATAATTTTCCACTATGCAGTGTATGTGTGTGTGTGTGTATGTTTTCTGAGGTTTTCGCGGGTATTTGTATGTAGGTCTTTGGTTATTCGGGTTTTCTCCCACATAAAATTGGAAGTACCTTGGCGACAAAGTCTCATTCGTCATCTTCAGGCTGATATCTTCGGCCTTGTGCTCCTTTTTGGCGTTTCAAGATAATCATATTCCACTGCTGGAATGGCCTGGGAATAGCCCAGACCTTAACCCAATTGAAAATCTATGGAGCCGACTAAAGAAACTTGTTAGTCAGTAGCGACCCAGCAATAAAACCCAGTTAATAGAAGCAATCCTTCAATCTTGGTTTCACTCCTAGAAGCACAAGGCCGAAGACACCAGCCTGAAGATGACGAATGAGACTTCGTCGAAACGTTGCCAAGGTACTTCCAATTTTACGCGGGAGAAAACCCGAATAACCAAAGACCTACATATCTATATCTATATCTATATCTATATATATATCTATATCTATATCTATATCTATATCTATGTCTTTCACTTTTCTTCTTTATACTGTAACTGCTATTCTAATAGAAGCCCCTTCATAAAAGTTATTGCATTACATTTGTGATTAAATTATATTTCTGTTGATATATAATTTTATGGTACTACTCCAAAAAAAGTGGTGTTATTAGCTCGTTTTAGAAAATACACTTTTACCAAAAGGTTTCTACAATTTTGGCCATTACTTTAGATACAAGTGGGCTTCTTCATCTGACCTAGGGATTGTTGGGGATGAGGAAAGTCCCTCTGGAAGCCTTACTTCAGAGTAAACTTGTTTCAAATCAGAGAGTCCCCATGTTCATGAGTAAAGGAGAAGGAAATGATGACAAGGAGTTTTGTGTGGTTCCTGCTTGATCTTGAGAAACCAGGATTAACACCAAAGATGGCTTTCAAACACTTCCGTTGGGGAAGGGGGGAGATAAGGATAAAAATGCCCATCAAGTCGAGCTCATGCTAGCGGAGCAACCATGTGGTTTTCTTAATAATTGTGGGCCACAGTTGTATTCTCGTGGAGGTTCCTTAACTTCTCATATATTCAGCCTGGTGGGAGGTGGAGAGGGAGAATGTTGCAAAACTGTCCCTGGTCTTTGGGCAGCTGCCATGTAAAAATGGGAAAAACACACACACACACACCGGATTTCCATGACTTCCTCGCCTTAAACCATCTGATTCAGCCACTGCAGGAGCACATTTAGTCTCCAACTGGCCTTCTTACACTCCTTCACATCGCTCCTGCAAAGAAGAGCAAGTTTGGGGGAGTTGGAGGGGTAGGAAATGCAAGGGCTGCTGGGAGGGGCTGGAGGAGGGGTCTGCAGAATTGGTGCTACTCATCCATGCTTTTTCCCCCTTGATTTATCTGACCTTCCTTCCTTGCCTTTGACATCCATCAGGACCCAGGAAGCCTTGGGAATGGAACAGTTAGGTCCTTCTTCATCATTGCTCTTCTTCCTACCGTGGGATGGGAAGCCTAGTGAAGCAGCTTGAATTTCTCTTCTTCCTGTTGAGGTTTTTCACGAGGGTCCTATTATTTCATCCAGCACCATGTTGGCCACATGGTGGAGACCCATGGAAGTATGCCTGGAGCCTGGAGACCCATGGAAGTATGGAGCCCATTAAAAGGCTAATGGGCTATAAGTGCATCCTTCTCTGCTTTTATAATTATAGTTTTTACTAATATTTAATTCACTGATGGATAAATGACACTGTTGTGTTTCAATTGTGTACTGTACATTGTCCAGAGTCACATGCAGGTGAATTGGGCAGCTATCCTGTTTCCCCGAAAATAAGACATCCCTTGATAATAAGCCCAATCAGACTTTTGAGCACATGCACTAAAATAAGTCTCCCCCCCTCCGAAAATAAGCCCTCCCAGAAAATATTTAAACACTGAGCTGGAAACCAGTTAAGATGGCAAGAGGAGCCCCATCTTGTTCCACGCGCCCCAAAAAAGTAAAACCTCCCCGAAAATAAGGCCAAACGCTTATTTTGAGGTTCAAAAAAAATCTAAGACAGGGTCTTATTTTCGG